GACCATGAAAAACACTCGTAATGTCTTCATTTCCAAGTACTGTTTTAAAACATCATATAAGGTTCAAGAACATTGGTATTAACCATGTGTGATGAAATACACTATTGATTGCCTTTTTAACTATTACATTAAAAAGTTTTGGAGGAATCATTTGATTCTAGCAAAAGATAAGCAAAAATTCCTAAGTCAAAAACTGTATTTGTTAATACATTAATATAGACTAAAGTAATATTAATACAACGTACTATTTAAAATTAAGTCTTGTCTATTACAACCTGGCTTTTAAAGTGCACATAAATATGTGACTAGAGATTTATACAACATCTTATTTTTTGCATTAAAAGTAAGAATATGAAAATAAAATAAGCAGATTACAACTCTATTATAGTCAGAGCACTCACAGAAGTGATAATGCTAATTGATTTTGTATAAATATGAGAAGCTTTGTCCTGTGAATAAATGGGAAAATCAATTTTGTTTTCTCCAAAGAATGCCTCTTGAAATTTTACACAAGCTTTAGACTAGGTCAAAGACAATATTGGCAAAGCGTTTCAATATCAAATACATGTCAAATGAGAAAGAGCTCCACCATTCAAATTAAATCAATAGCTACGAATAAAAGCATAATCAGTTAACATTCTACATACACAAAATATGCCTTTGTAAACATGATACTTGTTTTCCATTTCGATACTATGTCTTCAAGAATCTCTGGAACCATAAATTTTCAGTTTAAACCAGTTACATTTACTCCTTCATGAGTGGATTAAGATAACAGAATAAAGGAGTTACAAAACACATCAGTATCATATAGGTTGACACACATTTTGGAAGAAATACTGAGAGTCAAAATGTGCATATGCACAGATATGTGTACACTTTCTCTAATGAGGTAAAGTCGTACTAAAGTGAGTATGAAAAATACACCTCTGTGTATCCTTAGTGATGTTTGAATTTTAAAATTTGAAATTCTAAAATAAAACATGGTTTTAGTGAATATGTTCCAAAGTTAAACAAAATTTGGGTAAGTGTATGACTTGGTAGGTTAACACGAGTATTTCAGAAAAATGACTAATAAGTATTCTTTAGTAGAGGATGAACTTTTTTATTCTAAATTCAAAACACTGAATCTTTTGGAGATGAACTTTAAATACTGCCCGCCCAAAAACACAGTAGTTTAAATGTGCAAGTGAGATGTTGTATAAAGATAGAAATTAACCAGGCAAATTTTAGGAACTGCAGAAGTGGTCATAGGATCCACATTTGCAGCTGAGAGATCAACTAGATAGATCTTAAGTATCCATGAAAGAAGATTGCCATTGAAACAAGTTACAGACGTAGTGTTACCAACAGGGATGTAAACCTAACTCCTGAAATTATTTCATGTGAGAAACAAAAGAAACACGGTGCATTGTAGAGTCACCTAGATGAAAAATGTGTTGCTGAGACTTGCCGAGCAAGCAAACGTGTTATTTGGCAAGAAAATGTAAGTGAGAAAGAATGGAAAATTGAAGCATTTTAGTAAGATCTAGTAATCCTCATCACTAGAGAGATTAATGAATGCATTCCTTGTCTTCCACCACGCACTGTGAAAACATGTTCTGCTCTGAGAAAACATAGGAGATTTAAGAATTCTATGTTAGCATGTGGACAAAGGCAAAGCCAAGTTTCCATCCAGGCTCTGCCACTTAATAACTATGGCATTTCAAAGTCTTGAAACTCTTTGAAATCTCTTGAAACTCTGCATAGCACTGAAGTCAGGACAATAATAAATATCTGAAAACCTATGGTTATTGGAGGACCATGGTAGTAACAAATTCAATGCAATTTGTCATTTTAGCGCTGTGCTCTAGGGTGGTCAGACCATTCAGTGTTTGGTTTTCTCTAATAATTCTCTTTGTTAATTTTCCATTTCTCTCACAGATAAAAGCTTTGATACAGATATTTCCCCCAAGCCCACCATTTTTCTTCCTTCAGTTGCTGAAATAGATCGCCATAAGGCTGGGACATATCTTTGTCTTCTTGAGAATTTTTTCCCCGATGTTATTAAGGTATATTGGAAAGAAAGGGATGGTGATAAGGTTCTGGAATCCCAGCAGGGAAACACGATGAAGACTAAGGACACATACATGAAGTTCAGCTGGCTAACTGTGAGTGAAGATTCAATGAATAAGGAACACAGATGTATCGTCAAGCATGAGACTAATGAAAAAGGAGTTGATCAAGAGATTCTATTCCCTCCAATAATGGAAGGTATGTGTATCTCAATGAAAATATAAACTTCCAGAAAATATATTAAGAAACCAAGTATAAGTCTTTCTTGAACCTCATTACATTTAATGTAGCCTGAATCCCTGGTATATTCCCCGAGGAATTAAAATGGAGAAAATGGTTTTGGAGAAACCAAATTGGAATTTTCTTTCTAAGATTCGGTAGCTTATTATAGTGTTTAATATTCAGGTCACGCAATATTTTTAGAATTGTTATATGGGTGAAAAGAAACAACGTGCATAGCAACACCTACCAACATAGAGCATGGTAAATGCCACAAGGCATTTCAAATTTGATGACCTTATTTGATTTGAAAATAAGAACAATATGCTGCTTTTAAGAATGCTCTATCATGGAAGTAAACAAAGTAACCTACTTCAGTCTCTCTGTGAATATGGATTTATCTACCATGAGATTTTGAATGACAGAAAGTTTCTCAGCCAAGGTTCCAGAGTGTGGTTCGACAAAAACCAGAGTAACAATGGTCACTGAGGTGTGATGGCAGCCATGATGTTCTCTGTGTTTATTTTGTACATTAGTGTTAGATAAAATCGTAATTTAAGCTTGGGTGAGGCTAACATAAGTGAACGTACATCCATTCTTCCTGATGACAACGTAAATGCAGCTACACAAACTTGGGCGGTATCACTAGCCTATGCCAGCCTGAGTGGGAACACGTGTGAATAGTCTAGGAAAAGTTAGTGTTGCAGGGTAGATGTGCCACAGCGAAGACAGCATCTTTTCCTAATCACACATGGTCATGTATGAGTCTGGCAGCATGTGCCAAAGAAACACCTTTGATATGGTGAGGTGCGTATCCACACAGCTGGGCAAATGGCTGACGGTACAGAGGAACTGGCTGTGGTCCACTTCACTGTGTGTCACAGTCCTGAATAGGAAAAACAGTGGAAGAGATCAGAGTGAGCATGAAAATGAATCATCTTGTTCTTTTCCCTGTGGCTAACACGCCCTTTGGAACTTGTGGGGAACCACAAATGTGAAAGAGCATGTGGGGACATTTGTCACCTTTCTGGATTTCTTGCGTAAGACTTCATTCTCTGTGTTCTTTAGTTTCTGCATTGACCCGTAAATTCTGAAGAGGCTCCTAAATTTCCCTGGGGCTGTGAAGAACACCAAATGAAAAATGTCAGTGAAAATGTTTGCTTTCAATTATACAGCATAGCTATGTTTATTTTATGCACGTATACATACATACGTATATAGAAAATGTTACGCTTATTTCTTCCCTTTAACTGAAGTAAGATTATACAAACAACCCTGATTTATTTCCGTTGGGAGAAAACAGAGTGGAGGGGGAGAATACGCAAAGGGTAAGGTTAACATAACCATTATGCTTGAGTACAGTTACATCGAGTGTTTCTAGTGATCAGGGAATAATAAAAGAATAGTAATGAATATCGGGTATAGAAGGATCTAGCTTAGGAACGCTTTGTTTGGCATGAAATCCTAAAATAAATGTCTTTCATGGGCTTCCCTTGGCACCAATCTAAAGAGGACTCTTCCGTCAATGGCATTCTACGTGAGTACCTGATGCTTCGTCCTGAAGGTTTTTTGTTTTTTATAAGCTCTAAAAATAACACATGGAAGTACAAATCAATGAAGTGATGAAGTGGTTTGAAGGGAGGTGAAGCTGATTTGTCCCAAGTTTGGAAGCAACATTGATTCAGAGAATTTAGGATTTATATAGAGTTTATTTCTAGGAAGTGAACTTCATATTTCTACCTGAGTTCATGGAGATAGGGATTTTCATTTATCATTCAGTGAATACAGTCATCATAAGAAAAAATATAAATTTTTAGACCATTAAGACAGTTTTTAAGATACTTTAAAACCAAACATGACCATACTATCATTTTCATTCTTCTGAGTTTCCTCAAAGCCTATCCTCAAATCCATTTTTTAAGGAACACACACAAAAGAAATAATGATCTGTACAATTATGCAATGTAGGTATATTGGTATGGACACGTATATATGTACAAGAATAATAATGAGGAAAACAAACGTTGTGAATGGTTTTTCCAACCATTTTAAAATAATTTAATCTTAATTTGGGGCCTTTAACAAACCATATATGTATAAACAATATATGTATATATACATACATGCATACAAGTTTTATGCAGAGAAATAGAAATGTGAATTGGTCCACCTTGTTATTCCCAGAAAGAATTGCTCTCCGATCTTTTAACATAACAAGGCTATCGACTAAAAGTAATTAAGAAGCTAAAAGATTGAACAGGTTCACTGTGGGTGCAGCACTTCGTCAAGAATGCGTGTTGAAGCCTGTAAGCAACAAATATTCTAGTTTTTTTACTAGCATCCGTGTGTCACCTATTTTGTACCATGCCCTGTGCTAGGAGCTATGAATACAGAGGAAAAAGGAGTGTTGCATATTGCACTCCAGTTGTAATAAAAGAAAGAAAATGTAGCATTAATGAAGGTCAACATCTGAATGTTACACTCCACTTGTGACAAAATTTATCATGAATTTTAATATCTTCACATGCAGAAACAATATATGAATCATGTCTACTGAATTGCTTGAAATGAAACCAATTATTTTTTGTTTTGCAGGGCTGGCTCTTTGTTCACAGATTATATTCATGTATATATATATATATATATATATATATATATATATGTATGTACACTCTCAAATTTCAGGCAAAATTAACTGACTGACTTGCGCTCTCATTTCTTTTAGTTAGGGCCACCATTAAGCCCACAGAAGCTGGTCTGGAAGATGACAGTGGTAAGTTTCAGTTTATTTTAGCCAATATGCTACAGCCTAGTTTATTTCCCCCTGGTTATTTAACATTTGTTACTTCCTAGCTTAAGGTAGAAAAACCAGAAGGATGAATGTTTCAGAATAGACTGGGTGACATTTTAAATTGCCTCATGGTTTCCATAGTGTCATATTAGCACAGTTAACTAATGACCTTGGTATGAGATGAGTATAAATTAGAGGATACAGAGATATACTCTGAACTATTTCAACAAAAGGACTTCATTCATTCATGTGTCTTTTGTTTATAATTACTGGAAAAAACATGATATCAAGTTGCTCTAGTATTATTTTGTAATCATAGTTAAATGTAAATCACCTCAAATTTTAATTAGAGTACTCGAAATGTGACTTGACCTCTTGTACTGTCTCCAAATGAATTGGACAGAAACCTTCAGCTCTTACCAATAAAACAGTCCTTGGTTAAGAATAAGTAAGATGCCAGAAGATTTTCTTATACTGTTGGAGATGTTTTTCATTATGGTAAATTTTATATTTCTATGCATTGTTGTTACAAAGTAGTTTCCACACACCATGTCTCTTTTAACCCTGACACCATTTTCTGAATACTGGCTCTGCCATTCATTGGTGAGAGTTGCCTACACTCTAATTTTTTTCCTTATTCATGATATGGAGGAATCCAAATAAAACTCAGGTAAGTATTATGGGACAATTAAATAGGATGAAGCATGTGAAGCATTGAACACAGCACTTGGCACAGCAGTGATAACTGGATAAGTTTCCATTTTTTATAATATTGTCATTCTCCTGTCCACAAACATGTCACTTACAGAAAATCTTATGCATGAATGCATGACACTGGGGAGGTGCATGATTTAAAAACATATGGTTGCTTTCTTCTGTGTAGATGATTTCTCTAAATCAACCGCCAGATATGTGCAATTCAGTAATGCACTCCAGAATTGGACAGAACCTTTGGGATACAATGCTTCTGCCTTCCGTGTATGCTAAAGCCTGAGAAGAGCCAATTTTTCCATTGAACATGCATTTGTGGGTCACTTACTTTGTGGCAACACTGTGCTAGAAGCTATGAATATAGAGGAAAAGCAGTCTTAAATACTAAAATTCAGCTATGATTAAAAATAAAAAATGCATTTAGTTTGATATCTTCTTGTGCAGAAACATGATATATTTGGAATTTCTAGGTTCATATTTTTAGTGATTAGACAGTTATGTTGTCTCCTGCCTGTGTCAAAAGACTCTCTCTCTACATATATATATATATATATATATATATGTATATACACATATATGTGTACAAGTATATGTATACATACATATAGATAGTTTCAAATAATACTCAAGAATAATTGACTAGTTCTTGCTTTCATTTCTTTTAGTTGCTACAACTATTACTCTCAGAGAAGCCAGTTTGAAAGGTGAGATTGTGTTTCCTATCATCTCATGCTGTAGCATTTTTTTCCTCCTGATCATCTTAATTTTTGAACATCTATGGCTTAAAGCAGAAACCACCCTGGCTGGTTTTTACAGGATAGACTGAGCAATTGTATAATTTAATGCATCATTTCCTTGGTGTCAACACAGATAAAAACAGTTCTGGCTCCAAATATTATTTAGAGTAAAAGAAATTTTCTTGGCCTATCTTTCTAACGTCAAAAAGAACTCACTGAAATGCTCAGCCTATATAGTAATAAAATTGCATTTGTTAAGAATAATTGAGATGCTAGATATTCTACAGTAGACTTTAAACTAAATTTCTCTCTCATGACATGAAGCCCTTCAGAATTCAACTCACTTAAGTGTAATTGGGGAGTTAAGCGCAATGAATGCAAAGCTTTAACATAGTGTGCCTGGTAGAGCAATCATCAGTCGTTAGGAATTATCTTTTACTAATATTGATTGACTGTCGCTCCTGTCTGTCCAGATTGTATATATACAAATACATTTACATACATATATACACACTGCCAAATAATGGTCATAAATAATTGAATGGGACTTGTTATCATTTCTTCTAGGTGTCAATGCCACAGATCTTAAAGCTCGTTTGGAGGGTGAAAATGGTACGTTTAATGAATGTGGGTCTTTGTCTTATGCTATAGCATATTATCCTCTCTCTGTCGTCTTAATGATGTAACCCTTTGCTTAAGGTACAACAGTCAGAATGGCTGAACGTTACCCAATAGTTCAGTGACATTGAAAATTAATCCATAATTTTCTAGTCATAATAAACAGCATAGTCAATGAAATTTAATTTAATTTAAAGTCATATGAGATGACTTGAAATTAAAGGAGACAGTGAGATGCTCTGAACCATTTTAACAAAGGACCTTTACTCATCCATGTGTCTGTTTGTAATGGCTATGAAAATCATACCAATTTATCTAGACTTTAAAAGTCTTCTGGCTAGTTGATAAAATCACAAAGGGGCTCTAGTGAGTGCATTTTACACTTAGTACTCCTATCAATGATACAGCAGATCCCCTCATATTACAGATGAGGAGAGTGAGCTAAGATTTATTGAGTCCCTTGCACATGCCACACAGCTAGATCTGGGGCTCTCAACTTGGGCTATCACGTAAAGACTGCATACTCTTCTTCACATCTCTATTATTCTTCTCTTGACGATTCTATTCTAACATAGTTTCAAAGAGCCAGAAATTCTCAAGCCAAGGTCCCAAGTCACGGGCATCTGATTTGAGTGGGGAAGTGTCTACACGTCAGGGAACCACAGACTGAACTGAACCCCGTTGTCTGAATGTTCAGCTGTGTGCACATAGGCTAGTAACTTCCATTCATTCATGCTTTGACCATCTGCACATTGTGAACAGTCACCTCAAACTCTCAGTCGCTGAAGAGATAAGAGCCCAAATGTGAAACACCCAAACTTGTGTCTTATTTTGTAGACACAGAGTAAATTCTCGTTTCTGGCCACTTCATCCTATATATGAAACAAGAATGTGACTTGAAGCATTGTCTCCAGCTGTGGCTGTGCTGACATTTTCTCTGTCTCCTGTAGCCATAGGCTCCTTCCATACGTGCATGGCGATCCTCCTCTGACCAAGGACAAGGGGCATGAACACATTTCTTGAGAGCCTGTCTATGCCAAGGGCTAATGATGCTTGAGGTTTGACTCTATGAAGACTGACCATGTAACTGCGAAATTTTCCCAGGGAAAGATTTGTAGTTTTGATCCTAAGGAGCCACGTTGGCCTACATTCTTTGTTTTTAATATTACTTGCCATCTCAGATTTCTTACAAAGTTTCAAAGAACCTTGACTGCAATAATCCAATAACATCCACACCAACAAAAGACATTTAGGAAAGAAAGCTGTTATCACAACCACCAAACATCCTAGGGAACTGGATTTGACTATTTTCTGTTGTGTCCTCTTGTATAATCTCCCTGGAGCCAGCTATGAACACCAGCAAATTTCGATGAACTGTATCTCCCTTCAGATCTCATTGCATGTATAATCAGGGATGCATCTGATGCTTCCAGACTAGAAGTGCCACTTCACTTTTGTATGTATCCTTTTTTGTCTGGGATGTTTATTGTACTTGGAGAAGTAAACAATAGAGTAGATAAGAATATGTTCTTTCAGTTCGTGTTGCTGTGGATATAATCTGAAGTTAAAGACTTAACTAAACACATGACATCAAGCATTGACTTAATTCTGTGTCCTCAGACTGTTTGCAAAATGGAAATGGAAGTAATCCCTTCCTCCTTTTCTCACTCTCAATGTAGTTACATACATTGACTAAGACTAAACTTTCCATCCAAAGATGGCAGAATCCTATCTGAAATTTGGTTAGTGTTGTATTGATATTATCTCTAATTATTACTTAGAGACAGGGTAGAGTAAACAATTTAAAAACCTCGATAGCATACTTACTTTCACCCTCACTGGACTCATCAAGTAAAAAGGTGGCCTTGCTTTTTAATATTAGGAAGGTTCTCAGTGAATTTAGGAAATGTTGGTAATCAACTTGATTTTCAAGTGAGTCTTCCTCTTGGTGGTTCTACTGAAAGTGGTAGGTATTGACATTTGCATTTTGGAAAGAGGTATCACTTTAATGTAGCTCACCGGAAATAAGCATCTGAGAATCCATCCCAAAAATGTGTGCTATGCTGTTGAAAGAACAAGTGAGACTAACACATGACTTCTCTTAGATGTGTTTCAGCTGCAGCTTACAAGCACCTCTGCCTACTACACCTACCTCCTCCTGCTCCTCAAGAGTGCCCTGTACTTGTCCATCGTCACCTTCTGTCTGTTTAGAAGAATAGCTGTCTGTGATGATGTGAAGAGGTCCTAACAGATGGTGGCACAAAGATTCGTCTTGTCTTCATCAATTATTGTCCAAAACAGCATCTACAGAGGGTGTAGCTTGGCTGGCTTGCGGGGCTCTGACTCCTTAATGTTACAAGTGTATTTTTCTATCATTACTGCATTAGATTTTCCAACTCACAGCCCCTCTCGCATCCCAAATCATTCTGGTCCTAGTGCGCACAGCTCAATGCTTTTAGTTATGACCCATCACGTAGATAATACCCTACAAGCTTTCACTTCACAAACCCTGCAAAGCCTTCTTTGCCTCTTGAATTTGTACTTTGTTTTTCTTAAGAAACACAAGAAATAAAAATATTAAAGCCTGATTTTGTGCATGAGTGCTTTAATGTGATGAAACTGAATTGAAAGTCCAAGGTGAGAGCAGCATGACAAGGACTTCAGTATTGGATGTTGACAAGGGTCCAACACCACAGGCTAATTCTGTTCTTGAGATGGTGGTTATGATGATTTTCATGGGGTCTTGGGTCCAAGAGGGCCACAGTCAACTTCAGCTGTCCATGATACTGGTCATTCTAAGGTCACCAGGTTCAAGTTCATTTTGTTTGAGACATTCTGATGGCAATAGGAAAAAATCTAATGTGACTCACATTGTGTGCTCAGCTCTGTGTTGGTGTTTCACAGCATTTTGATTCTTGATACTCACCATGTCCCTATGAGAGCTGCCTTAATCTCAGTGTAACAGAATTCAGCACAAGTCTGAGGACCCAGACAGCCTGGCTTTCCATCCTGGTTGTGGAATTTAGCACCTGGGTGGTATCAGGTACTTGAACTTCCTGGGTTGTAATTTTGTCCCATAAAATGATGTTAGAATGACCCATCTCCTGGAGTTGTGTAGATTAGATGAGTTAGTAATGCTGGGTGCAGCAACTTCTCAACAACTTTAATATGTGTTCCTGACTTTAAAGAATGGACAACTGAGTCCCACACACACAGACACACCAGTGATGACATCTATTTTAGTTTTCTGCAGAAAGGATGACTGGGATGAACTAGACTTAGCTTCCACCATACAGCAGATAACCCATGATCCTCTTATCTGTCTGTGAGGTAGGTACAATTATAGGGCAGCATCTTATTTGAAAAGTTAAGTTACTTACTGAAGTTACTTGTTAAGTAATAGGCTTAATTTAAAGTAAGGTCTCTGAACCCATGTGTGTGCATGTATGCGTGCATGTGGGTGTGTATGTGTGTGTGCTCTGTGTATTTATGTATGTGTGTTATTTATCAATTGACATGTGTCTTTCTCTCAGCCACTTTCAATTGGGGAGGCAAAAAATAAAAAATGCATGGCTTCCTAACTAAATGCATGTTCCAATAAGTCAGTCAGAATTTCCTCCAGGATGTATGGTCCCCTCACATATACTTCAGGCCACTGGTTTGTCACTAACTTCCCATTTGTCTACCCTCTATGGATAAAACTGTGGTCTACTCTGGAATTGCTCTCATTATTAAAATCAAAATAGAAATTCTGCCTTCCGTTGACCCGCCACTGATCTTTTTTAGAGTGCTAATGAAATGAACTGTGAAACTCAGGCACAGAAGGCCCCGAATGCTGCGCTCTGGACGTGGATAGTGCTGTGACACCTCAACTTCTCCATGGACTGAATGGGCCATGAGGTCCTCAGAATCACCTTGTAGGAGAGTCTGGTGTAGTCTGGTGCATTGCAGAGGCCAGAGGAGGAGGATGTAGCCTTTTCAGTGCAGCACTTTTCCACAACAGGACAACTGGCAAATATATGGAAGACACATGGTGTGGTGAGAAGATACAAGGGCCAGGAGCCACACGTCACAGCTAGTTAGAACCCTGAATACTGGTCTGGCTCTATCTCACTGTATCACTAATTTTTTTATTTAGTAACACACAGATTTTCTACATACTTGTGTAATTCTGTGTGATGATTTTATGTATGTATACACTGTTTAATGTTGAAATTAAAGTAATTAGAATTAAAATAAGCTAATAAAGTTGATTTTCCTGGTTATAGTATATTGTTATATTCTGAAACATTTATAATTTCTTTGCCTTTGGAACAATCAAAAACATTTCTGCTACCTTTTTGAAACATACATCACGTTATTTTCTATAGCGCAATCTCAAACTGAACTTTGTTGATGTTTAGAAGAATATGTCCAAGATAAAATAATTTCAGGTTTATACACAAAGTCACAAAATCTGTGATTGTCATCTTATGAAATCATAACACCAGTTTCTGGTTAGTGCTTCCTAAGTACCAGTTAGTGGAGTAAATATATCTTGCTGCATTTTAATTCTCACCAGTACATTATGAGATATGCACGGTTGAATGTTGTATACAGGGGAAATTGAGGAAGAGAAGACAAAGGAACCTCCACATAGGTACACAACTAATAAGAAACAGGGCAGGGATTTGTCCCTAGTAGCTTGGCTTCAACAGCTCTTTCCTTACCTTCTGCAGATGTGAGAGTAGCATGGAAATGGGTTACTCTGCAGGAAAATCTTCTTCCTCATTAGGCTGAGAACTGGTAAAGAGAATCGTCTTCTTACCTTTCTGCATTTCCCCTCTGGATTCTTGAGCTGTTCTCACCTTAGAGAGTTAGAGACTAGCCTACAATACAGCTTTCATGCTGGGAAAACTTTTACACCCGCACTAATAAGAATTCTATGGCCCATTCCTTAACACGTCGGATGAAACAAATTCTGGAACAACAGGTTGCATCCAAGGCTGTTCAACTGAAAATGAGGAAAAGATTTACACAATTCCACACGAAGACAGTCGTGTCTCAGGAGTCACTATAGAGTTAGAGCACCCTGTACTCTTCTTAACAATTGAAAATCAGTTAAAGAAACTCCAAGTATTCTCAATTGCAAAATAAAAATGGGGGCAGGGGAGATTCCAGCAACAGTTCTCAAGACTTTTGCCATCATGTGTTCTCTCTACTTCTTTGGATTCTCTCCCTCAAAGACATAATATCTTAAAGCTTTTTGTCTATCAAACTGGCCATAACTAATAAAGTTGATTTTCCCTGTTATATTAACCAAAGTCCTATATAACTATAAATTTCAAATTCTATAACAAGACATAAGCAGAAATACCACACCAAGATGGTATTATTCAACTCAAAGACTATAAACTCAACATCTTCATGAGCTGTGAAAACTTATGTGACTGAGTGCGTTATTTTCACCTTATTGTGTTAGGCTACTTGTTTTGGGGTTTCTTGTTTTGTTTTGTTTGAATTATAACAAGTTCTTACCATTTAGGAATATCAGAAATTCTGTCCCTCAGTTGGCATGCCTTCCAATGCTCTCAGCTGCACCACAGTGCAGGCATTACTTCCATTATATTATACAAGGTCAGAGACATAATGTTCAACTCTGAGTAAGCCCTAACTTTAAATGTGCCCAATTCTAAACATCGAAAAAAGAGCTACTGTTAAATCTCCCAATGATAAACACCAAGTAATCCACAGCATGAAATATGCCCAATATGACCCATGATTTCAGGTCTGTCTAACCTAAGCCCTGTACATTCTATCAGTGGCTCTTCCTCTCCTCCTGGCAGTCCCTGACAGTCAGTGAGGCACCAAACTTAGCCCAGGCCAGGAACAGGAACTTAAAGATCTCTTCCAGAAACTCTAATGTACAGTCACGGTTGGAGCCAGCCAAGGCCTGAAACAGCTCCTGAACCCCAGCACACCTGTCCCAGACTACAAGCGTGAGTGGCCATGATGAAGCACCTTACTCATTGTGGAAAAGTCTCTGCTAGAAAGTGTTCGTACTACGTGAGCCACTTATTTTCTCTGGATCCAAATACATATCCTAACATCATGTGCAAGGATACTCTTTCACAACAGCATTTCCTGCAGCAAACCAAATTAACCCAAAAGCCCAATAAGAAATTACTAAACGATATCACCAGACAGATTGATATGCATGTTCTAAAAATGTAAAGTTTCTAAAGAAATGGAAAGTAATCAGGACATAATACTGAAATACACTATGAAGGGTATGTTGTCAAATATATTTACCTGCTTTAAAACACAAAACACTTATTTTCTGTAAATATTGATGTCCCTCCATAAATACGCATTATATGCATATATTTCCCTTTCCCTTGTCACATAACGATAGTATTCCAGTATAAATTATCTGGAAGTCTCTTTTCACTTAAAAATCTGAGTGAGAGCTTCTGTCATTTGAGTGGGTAGGGACATTTAAGAATTCCCAAGCTGCTTTGCTCAGAACAAAAAAACCGTAACTCATCACTTACTTCAAATGGATCCTTAATCTATTTCCAATCTATTGCCACTGTAAAAATTCTGTAACAAATCATTTTGTGTCATTTTGAACACGTGCATTTGTAATGGTTTAAGAGAATGCCAGATCACTGTTCAAAGAGAGCCCTGTTTAGCTTGTCTGCTTCCATGTATGGGCATGCCTGAGAGAGGCCTGTCACACTTCATGATTCTGTATTCTGATAGGTTTAATTATAGGATCTCATTTCGGTTTGAACTTGGTTTTTCTCTTATTATGACTTAAGGCAAACATCATTCGTGTTTCAGGTTTATTCACGTTCTTTTGCAGCATTTGTTCATGTCCTTTCACCAATTTCTCTGTTGAGAAATACTAACAACTGTGACAGTTGTTGTCTGTATATGTTCACTTCTGTAGGAAAATACATAAAACAAAATGTTCAAAATAGAGCAGGTTGGTGAAAAATCAGTGTGCCTTTTTCATTTTCATTAAGGAATACTACTAGATTTAAAACTTTATATATTTGAATTAAACAGTGACATTTAATTTAATACAACCTTTCTACTTTATTATGAGAAAGGTTTTGTTTCTTTGTTTACAATCAGCTTCAGTTTCTGTGAAACAGGTTCTTACAGAAACCAGGCAAAGGCTGTATTTGGAAAGACAATGAGAACGAGGCTCAAAAGACAACCTAATTTAATTTGGAGCTACCCCTTGATGAATATGCTAGATTAGATGTCCCTGGGCCAATTTTTGGCTCCTATTTAGAGACGTGGAACCATCCCTACACTGGAGAAGGTCAGACAGCAAGACAGGAAACCATCCATCACCCAGAGCTTCATGGGCCTGGTACCACTGGCCAGGGTGCTCGACAATGTCTCCTGTGGCCTCAAACCTCTTAGCACCTTCCTCCGCCTCACCAGTTGGGCAGGCCTGAACTTGAGCAGCACAGAGAGAGACAAAAAGCACTGGTGGCACAGAGGAGACAGGTAGACAAAGTTGTGGCTAATCTTGTTTTATTTTCTCAGGCTTCTTTT